TTCTCTGATAAAGCACGCTGTTTCAGCCAATCAGAGTGCGCGTTATATGGAAACTTTATTATAATATGGTGTAAATCACGGAAATAGCTGCTTTATCGTTTCGGGTTATAAGTCTATATTTAAAGTACAAAACGCCCAAAGTTCTGGGTATTGTGATAAAACGCAACGGTTAGTTAAAGAGGCTAGAAAGATAGTGGTGGAAGCCCAGGAGGTGGAAGATACTGAAAAATATTGAACCCGAAAGAGAACAATCTGTTCGTTTGATTTTAGTTACTGCTCCTTTCTTACTAACTTAGAAATGTAGCAAAACATCGTATTCACCGTTTTTTGACTTTTGAAGAGTACGGTTTAGATATAATAGCCAATCGAAGTTCCAGAATCCTCTATTACTTCATGGTATATTTAAGACGTATCCATCGAAGTGGCGATCAATAGTTACAATTATCCCGCGTAATCTGTGATGATACTTTATTGACAGGGCTGAAGGCTGAATGGGCTAAAATCAGACGATATTAGGTGATATTGAGCACGAAACGCACTCTGTACTGCTTGATAAACTGTGGTGGTGATACAGTGCTTTACATCGCCGGATTAGAAGAATCATGGGAAACTATGTATGTCGCTGGGTCTCTGGGCATTGGGAGAATTTCTTTTTGTAGATTAATTGGTAAAATGGCCGGCTGGAATTCTATAGTTATATCTCAGTTATATCTTAGTGTTTCAAAGGGAAGTAATTCATGAGCGTGACATAGATTAGGGAAAAGTATCGTGACAACACCACGTAATCGACCAAAAATAACCCTTGTTTTCATCTAGTCGCATGTTTGGTAGCCTACGAACGCAGACGTATTTCCGGCTGTCGCTTGTCTCCGCCGAAAATAACGTCTGCGAACCCGAGCCAGGAAACGATTTCGGTGACTTAATGACTTTTGTTTCTCCTTGGCCAATCAGATTCCATGATAGAATGAAACTCAAGTGCTCGCAGCGAATACCTCGGTTAGTAGTTCTGGGGCTACTTGAGCTAAACTGTGATTGGCTTAAAATTCCTACGTCACAGAAATCGTTTCCTGGCTCGGGCTCGCAGACGTTTATTTTCGGCGGAGACAAGCGACAGCCGGAATACGTCTGCGTTCGCAGGCTACATGTTTGGAAACTGTCCTTTACTCCACTTATTACCTGCCACGAGTAATAATGAGTTGACATGCGGATATTCAATTCACACCAATCCGCAGGAAGCACTTGTATTAGTTCTCGTGTAAGTAAGATAACTTCCTCTCTTTTTGACTCTTTTATAATAAATTCTTCCTCTATTTGCATGTGACATCTGGGGCGGCTTTTTGATCTGTTTCCAATTTCGTGCCCTGTTTTGAGAGGAAGTGGTCAGTATTGACATTCGTTTCATGTGCATGAAATGCAAGTTTTGCAATGGGACTGCATGCTGTCTGATTCAAAAGTAATTGTATGAATACGACTCTGAAGACTGTCAAAATTTAGCAGTCAGTTATTCGGCGTTAAAGCGGCGTTAACAGTCAGTTATTCAGTCAGTCAGAATCCAAATTGGAGTAGGACGTATTACCTGTTAATAATATTACATACGAAACTTTCCAAAGTACTTTTTAAAATTCGACAGGTATCCAAATTAAAAATTTGATTGGTCGGGGGCGCGCATGTTATGCATCTTGGGCTCAATATAATTATGTACACACGGAAAGTCGCGTATTTCACAAGTTTTGAAAACCGGAGACATTTGCCATTAGAGATAAAAGCCTCCTTAAGAAAACCGGAGAGGATGGGCGGTTCTGTTTTTCGATTGGTATTAATTTACTAATCGAAAGAGGAGAGTTCCATTTTCGTCACGTTTTACGTCCAAGTTTGCCTTCTAACACATTAACAGTGAAGTTGCGAAGTTCAATGTTGCAAAAATCATGAAACTCCAAGAAGAAATTCGAAATTCTCAAATGTAGCTGCTCTTAGTTAATGTTACAAGACCTTAGAACAGTCAGTTTACTCTGGAGAAAGTTGCTAATGCGCCAAGAGACATTTTGGTCATCAGGCGGTACAGCGACCAGCTGAATGCTATCGAGCGTGAGAGCAAGGGTTTAAAAAATTCAGTGGATTTTGGCAGGATTGAAGATTTCATTGATTGTGAAGGAGACTTGTATCCAGGGTTCAGGTAGGAAATGTGTTCTAAAGTTATTTGGACTGGCTCGCGTTTTAGCTCGTTTTAGAACATGTCAAATAACCTTATTGAGCTTAGCCGTTTGGCTGCTCCGATTATTTAACTACGAAACGTTTGGAAGTTTTTTTTGGTGATTTTACGTACGATGGGCATTATAAGAAAAGCTTGTTATAAACACTGCCTAACCCAAGCTTAACTCAAAGAATTTCGGTGGCCTCGATTATGGAAGATTTCCGTTCTTGACTATTAGCAAAAAGGTTTGTTTTTCTTCAGACATGACTAGCAAGGGATATAGAGTTTACTGAATTGGTATGGAAACCTCAAGTTGCACGTCGAAATTCGAGTTGGACTTCGAGTTATCGTAAACAGCGTTCCAATTAGCTTGAGCAGCGTTCAGGTTCAGTGTCAATAATAGAAATTGTAACCTATATTCTTAAAGTAGTCTTGCCAACTCCAAAGGCCGAACTCGATTTTCCATCTCGATGATCTCCGACCCTGATTTAATCTAATATCAATATACTAAACTTAAATGTAGTCAGGTTTGTAGTTTTTCGTACCTGATATGATGAATGCTGCAAAGCAAAATGTGAACAGATGTTTGTTTGGATATTTCATAGTCTTCAACAGTATTATGGGAGCAGACAATTAGCATTATACCAAGCATGTACGTCACAAAAAGCGTATGTCGTCACTGGTAACTCTAATTATCGTAATGATCCAGCGCGCGGCCGATCTTTGAGGTAGTGACATTTCAATCCAGTCGCTACCGATCAAACAAAGGAACGAACGAACGATCAAACCAATGGATGACTTCATGACTGAGCTGACTGACGGCGAATGAATGATACATGGTAGCTATTCAGAATATTCAGTTTTCAGAACAAGAAATGTTGCGTATCCGGAAATTTTTATAAGTAGATTAACTTGTTTAAGTATGACGCAGGATATTACTGAGCGATGGGCCGGAGGTCGCCGTTCTCCCCTTCAAGTTCAAGGCTCAGTCGACTAATCAATAAGTTTCAAGTTTTTCTTCTCACCGTACAATGTAGATACTAATAAATGACCCATGTTTAGAAGGATATAAATTATATATAACCTAAATTCTACACAAAACTTGTTGCCATGCCTGCGCGTTCGAACTCCAGGAGTACCATCGCTTCGCAAGGAATTAGCTTATGTTTCCAGTTTTTGTTTCCTTATTGGCGAATTTCTTCATTTTTGATTATTATAGCCATCGTGTATAGTTGTATAGTTGTATAGTTGTGTATGTGTTGTTTGAAATTTAAAACATGCCGCGCCTTCAGTTCGTTTTGCTATATTTAGTAAACCAGAATTAGGGGAAAAAGGGTTTTTTTTAAAATTNACTTAACACTATCAGATATTATGCTTATTATGTGCATTCCAGCTGATGTTTACTTGGAAGTCGGGAATTTCCCGTACAACATATTATTTTGCAAAGTTCAACGCCCTCTGTCCACGCTGGTCTATTTTGTCAGCATCTTCACTATTACAGCAATGGCTCTTGAGCGGCATCAAGTTATAACTAAACCTTTTCAGCCGAAGATGGAGCGACAACGCGCGTTTCTTGTAGTTGGAGGAATCTGGGTACTAGCTTTGTTTTTTATAGTTCCATTACCTATAGTAACATCAGCTGGCGCCAACGAATGCGAGGAAGAGTGGCCTAGCATTTACAAAAACCTGTATACGGCTATTCTTGCAGTTTTTCAATATTTGCTGCCTTTAGCAATCATCACTGCAGCGTATATATCTATTGTTATTTATCTTTGGAACGAGGGAGCCTCACAACAAGCGCTTAACATCCAGGGCGATATCGCCTTGAGGGCGGCAAGGAAAGATAATATACAGGTCTTAAAAGCAGTTATCATTGTTGTCATCTTCTTTGCAGTGTGCATGCTCCCAAGTCAGCTCGCGTGGTTGTTGTGGGAGTTTGGTAAAGCAAAACACAAGGATACTGCAAAACATTTATTGAAATTTGCTCCTGTAACAAGCTATCTTCATAGCTGTGCAAACCCCTTAATATACGGAACTTTCATAGCTTTTTTCCGTAAAGAATTTATACTACGGCTAACGAAATGTTTTTCATGCTGTTATGGATTTATCTATGTTTTGAGAAGAGGGACAATCCATCTCTACCAGGTCTCCTCGTCCCACAGAGAAGCGCGCCAGCAACATGATAACGGAAAGGCCAATAATGACATCATTAGTGCAAACAGTGAGACACGAAGGGGACGTGACGGGTCTTCGATTGTGACGCGCAAGGAGATCTTGGATGCTAAAATTGGAACGCAAAGAAATTTTGGATTTATCAAAGAAGAATGCGAGGAAAACGAATCAGAGACTCACCTCTAACACAATAGGGAGTTTACGAAGCCACGACGCCGACGCCGAGGACAACGTCGATTAAAAAATGATTTATATTTTACCAACGAATCTCGCGATACTCTTAAGTCATTTACTTTGTTTATCACTGTCAAAACTATCGCAAAACTAAATCCGGAACACAGCGATAAATTTGAAATAAAAATTTAAAAAATTAGCCGTCATGGTTCACGTTCTCCAGACAACGCAAAATTTGGTCATTTCACGTTGTTGTTTTGCAGAGGACGGCAAAGAAATGTACCAAGAATTATATGGCAAGTGCACAGCCATTGTACTGCTCAATAATTCTTTTGTTCAGTGACGTTCCCGTTGCCGYTGCCGTCGTGGTTTCGTAAACTCCCTAATATTAAATACGATGCCTGGTCGAGTTCGACCACAATTTGCTCAAAAAAGGATTATTCGAAGGGGCCATGTTTAATCTGCTTTCAAATTCTCGAAATACGAGTGTGTCAAATAAATAAGGCTGTAGGTAGAATCAAACTGAGAAGAAATACAGTGGGTTATTTTACTCTTATTGTCAAGCCTCTCATCAGCCTCTGGCGCGGATATGAAAGAAATCCTCATAAGAATAAAAACTTTTATTGTTAATTCCAATCTGGATGAAATATTGATTTCAGCCGAGCCTCCGGTAACGAATAGCTTCTGTAACCTCCCATAACCCGACATCTCTCCCAAGTGGACACTTTGATTTTTCTACGTTAAGCTCTAAGACAATTGCTGCAAGTCTATTTAGATGAACAGCGGTCACATTAAATACTTCTGAGTCGAGAAATAGCCAATCATGTGGCATGCCGTTTTGCGCGCGTAGACAGTCCAAGACAGCTTAACACGCATTTTCATCGAAAAAAAAATCCCCAAAACACCCTCGCAGCGTGCGTGGTAACATTTTCTGCGAGAAAATAAGTTACCATGTCCAAAAATAACTGAGAAGGTTAACCTTAAGAGTATGGCTGTCATGCATATGGGCGATTAATTCTCTCAACCTTTTTCCTCTCTTGCCCAAAGTTTGTCACAGACGAGTTAGGCTGGAATTACAATGGAGCCGCCTTAAATTGTAAATACGAATATTGAAGCTAACTTACCATCAGTCACTGGGCTCGCCCTTATAAAATAACATTAAAATCATCGTAAAATTCACTTTTTGACATTATCTGGCCGAAATCCCAAGTAATATTAAAGAAACACAGCTTCTAATTCCTCAAACACTTATTTACAGACACTTAAAACGGGAATAAAAATTCAGTAAAATTACCTCTGTTCAGGCCAGAACTGCTGTCAAAATATATGATGGGCCTGTGCGATGAGGAACGGAATACAGATTCCAAAATAGAACGGGAACGGCTGTACACCGATTGCCCCATGTTCAGGAGCCACTGAGCTCGATTTGTGGCAAATTGATAATAAATCATTTCAAACCTCCACTGAATAAACAGTAATGAAAAGCACGATAGACTTAAAAACAGATCCCAAGATATTTACACTTTTTTTTTTTTTTTCGTTTTTTCAGATATTGTATGTCTTATTGCATTTATCAAGTTGATAATCTATCCAGTCAGGTTAGCTCGGACGAAAATAGCACCGCTAATTTTTTTTTATTATTTTAATTGTGATCCACACTGCCTACAACTCTGGTACGTCTACTTACCAAATTTACAACAGTAATACAACTACTAATTACAACAGTAATACAACTGCTTCACTACTTACAGTACGATGCAATTACAGATGCTAGTTACAATATATACTACAATTTGCATAACTTACTCTACAAAACAATACAATTATTTATTTAATATTTATTATTTATTTAATATGGCACCGCTAATTAAAATGTCAATGTGTATCTTGTCTCCTACGTTGCAGGTAAGATACGTTTTACGTCATAGCTGGTAGAGTTGATAACCTTGCTCATGAGGACTCGTACCCCCAGTATCCAGGTGGTGGAAAAAACAATCTTGAAGGTCCGGACTCAATCATCCATGGAGTAAGGAGCGGCACAGAATATTTGTGGCATGTACAAACTAGAGGCGACGTTACTTGCGTCTGAGCAGTAGCTCCACCTTCATATGGTTTTCTTCTTCCCTTCGCTCGGCGATTCGAGAACCACACCTAAACAATGATAACAACAGCTACTAATGAAAAAGAATTATGTTTTAACTCAAGTCTGATTGGTTCCCTACTCAAGGTATATGGCGTTATGTACCATCAACTACTTATATGAAAATATATATCGGTGCAGTACTCAAACTTCAAGCCAACCGAAAACTTAGTGGTCACTTTGCGAGTATACTCACTCCCGTAGAAGATATAGGGAAGTGAATGTATGAAATATCATATTTTTAACTGCAGTTCTTGTTTGAGAGTTAGGTTTCAATGATTTTAGCTAACCGGCAAGCTCTTATGGTTACCTCCAAAGTTTAGTTACTTTGATACATATTTTATTGATTTAAAAACAAAATTTTTCATGATTAATTTTGATATTTCCTGTGAGTTCGAGTAATATAGAACATATGTTTAAGTCTCACTTTGGAAATATGAGATTCTTGGCCATACCATAATCATCATATCATCATGGTATGGCTGCTAAATAATGACAACGTTAAATGTTACATCAACCGTAAACAAAAAAGGTCACTATTTTACGGTCGGCATATGATCTAGTAGCACCGAGACTGTCGGTAAAAAAGTCAAAGTCATAAATCTGAGTTTGTCCATTCAATTGTCTGGCATTACCTGTATTCTTGTTTCGTGGATTCCCAGCTTGTGAGATAACGTCTCTCGATCCCATGCATTAGGATACGGATTCCTCTCAAATTCAACCTCCAGTTCATGAAGTTGACGGCTTGTATACTTTGCACGCTGCCGACGCTGCCGCCGAATCAACGAACTTTCCTCTTCTGATACGGAGTCTCCCTCAGTAGCGGCAGCATCTGTTGAGTCATGGGTACTGTCATTAGACTTTATTGACTTGAGTACAGAGAAAAAAAAGTTAAAACTCAACAGAGAGACTGCAGAGTTTGGAATCTTCCTGTTCGAATCAAAACATGGCCATTTTTTTTCCTTTCTTTTGTCATCATTAGACTCCACTGGATGCCGATCGTGCATCCTTATTGTGATCTCTTGCAATCTAAATGGACTTAAATAGGTATATTCGACAGCAGCCTCCTAATTGAATATGCCTCCAAAACTCCTTAGGCGAAAAATTTCTCAGAACTTTGCAGAATTCTTCTTAATGAATGAGCAATAGACATTTTTTACTAACATTGCGATTATTTGCCTATAGAATGACGCTTTTAGTAACTGATGTTGAACCATTAAGATCAGCAAGGTAGTTATCAGTTGAAAGCCTTCTCGGCCTGCCCAAGAATAGGACCCCCTCACTGCTACCTTACCTGAGCCATGTTTACGGGGCGACAATTGGCGAAAAGTTGTTAACATAATATAACTGGCTCCCACTCNCTGCAGAGTTTGGAATCTTCCTGTTCGAATCAAAACATGGCCATTTTTTTTCCTTTCTTTTGTCATCATTCGACTCCACTGGATGCCGATCGTGCATCCTTATTGTGATCTCTTGCAATCTAAATAGGTATATTCGACAGCAGCCTCCTAATTCAATATGCCTCCAAAATTCCTTAGGCGAAAAATTTCTCAGAACTTTGCAGAATTCTTCTTAATGAATGAGCAATAGACATTTTTACTAACATTGCGATTATTTGCCTGTAGAATGACGCTGTTAGTAACTGATGTTGAACCATTAAGATCAGCAAGGTAGTTATCGGTTGAAAGCCTTCTCGGCCTGCCCAAGAATAGGACCCCCTCACTGCTACCTTACCTGAGCCATGTTTACGGGGCGACAATTGGCGAAAAGGGGTTAACATGATATAACTGACTCCCACTTCAAAACCAATACAGCTTCACTACAGTAACAAAAATGTAGGGGGAGGAGACATAAAAATTACATTTGCAAGCAAACGTTTTATCATTGTTGCCAAGAAAGGGCGGTGCAAATATGTATAAATCAAATGAAGGAAACTTTCCTTAATTGCATTTTCCTTGCGAACAAATAGTGCAGTCTGATAAGAGCCATCAAGGTCAGCCTGATTGAACAACAGCTTAGCAATGTTGATTTTGGGATCAAATGTTATGAATTTTACTAGTACAGTAGATGTTAATATTATCACCCCAAAATACGTTTAAGCGTGTGCAAATTCAGTTGTCTATTTTCCAAGCAGCGTTATCTAATCTTTACTTATTTTTGTATACGTGATCAAAATTAAAACGGGTCACGAATTTTGGAGTTTTGCACGTCCCCGCAAATGATCCCCAAATTGTACCGCAAATGATCCCGGGACCGGAACTGATTCCACCGCAAAAAGTTTGGAATGGCGTGGACTCCATGGAAAGTCTATGGATGGATACATATTTTCTTAATTATTCTAGGTGAAGAAAAGACCAGTACCTCAGGCATAAAAGCAGCAATAAAAAAAGTTTCTCATACTGCGCAAAATACTAAATTGACATGTGTCGACTGCATTGATTTTTCGTTTAGGACACGCACTGCAAAAAGAAACTTGAATCTTCGAAGATACCTCTGCCATCTTATTAACCGCTTAGAACTTTTCCCTGTACACTTCTTATACCTGCGTCCTAGATAGCCACGGGCTCCCACGAAAGTCTCTAAGATTCCTTCGTGCTAGTTACCGTAGTAAAAATGTAGTCAATCCACTTGGAAATTCTCNCTGCGTCCTAGATAGCCACGGGCTCCCACGAAAGTCTCTAAGATTCCTTCGTGCTAGTTACCGTAGTAAAAATGTAGTCAATCCACTTGGAAATTCTCAGTTGTCTCCAAATTTTAGGATATAGTGAACATCCTGCATGTGTTATCATACATCTCAGGCCCAGACCCAATAAAGTCATTCAGGGAAGGAACCAGCTAAACTACAAACTTCAAACACAGGATTTCGTAACGTTGGATATCATTTTTAAAGTTGTGAAATTTGCATTCAAATCATTCATACTGCACATTTTCTTGCGTTTCATATAGTAACTGATGTATCAAAATATTGTATTATTACTGTGAAACTCAGAAAACCGTGAATACCAGGGAAAAAGCCAATTAAGCGTGAGACAACTAAACCGCAAACACCAACGGTGATAGGCCACGTTCTGGTCACGTTCGATATATCAATGTTCTAACATGGCTCCGAGGTTTTCAGGACAAACTTCTATGTTTGGTGGTGTTTTCTTTGTATCCAAGTCTCTCCTGGAAATTGAAAGACAAAGGAAACTTTAAAAAATTGCAATTTTGACCCGAAAACCTCGGATCGATGTTAGAATATTGATATATCGAACGTGGCCTATTGGTTGTGGTTTTGAGATTTTCTCGCGTGTCCTAACTTTATAGTGATTGGTTCAGTACCAAATTAACCTTTTGGAATCAAATCCAAATGTTCACGGTTTTCTAAGTTTCACAGTCATAAAAAAAGCGATTGCATAAATTTAAAATCCACTGTCCAAATTCCTGAGTCCTCACATTTCCAAATTTTATCGCGAGACGACCATTTCCGGTCCGGAATCATTTATGGTACCATGTGGGGATCATTTCCGGTCCTGGGATCATTTAATTGGGGGATCATTTGCGGTAGGGGGATCATTCGCGGGCCGGGATCATTTGCGGGGCCGTACAGTTTCTTGTGCGATTGAATTAAATGCGTAAACATATTTTTAACCAAAGTGGACTCTNAATTAACCGCTTAGAACTTTTCCCTGTACACTTCTTATACTTGCGTCCTAGATAGCCACGGGCTCCCACGGAAGTCTCTAAGATTCCTTCGTGCTAGTTACCGTAGTAAAAATGTGGTCAATCCACTTGGGAATTCTCAGTTGGCCCCACATTTGAGGATATAGTGAACGTCCTGTGTTATCATACATGTCAGGCCCGGACCCAATAAAGTCATTCAGGGAAGGATTCAACTAAACTACAAACTTCAAACACAGGTTTTTGTAACGTTGGATATCATTTTTAAAGTTGTGAAATTTGCATTCAAATCGTTCATACTGCACATTTTCTTGCGTTTCATATAGTAACCGCTGTATCAAAATATTGTATTATTAATGTGAAACTCAGAAAGCTTCAGAAAACCGTAAATACCAGAAATATTTAAGGATTATTATTGTGTAGCAGGGAAAAAGCCAATTAAGCGTGAGAAAACTAAACCGCAAACACCAGCGGTAATAGGCCACGGTCGATATATCAATGTCCTAACAAGGCTCCGAGGCTTTCAGGACAAACCTCTATGTTTGGTGGTGTTTTCTTTGTATCCAAGTCTCTTTTGGGAATTGAAAGACAACGGAAACTTAAAAATTTTGCAATTTTGACCCGAAAGCCACGGATCAATGTTAGAATATTGATATATCGAACGTGCCCTATTGGTTGTGGTTTTGAGGTTTTCTCGCGTGTCCTGAACTTTATAGTGATTGGTTCAGTGCCAAATTAACCTTTTGGAATCAAATCCAAATGTTCACGGTTTTCTGAGTTTCACAGTCATAAAAAAAGCGATTGTATAAAATTAAAATCCACTGTCCAAATTCTTGAGTCCTCACATTTCCAGATTTTATGGCGAGGCGACCATTTCCGGTCCGGGATCATTTTTATGGTACAATCTGGGGATCCTTTCCGGTCCTGGGATCATTTGCGGTACAATTTGGGGATCATTTGAGGTACGGGGATCATTTGCGGGCCGGGATCATTTGCGGGGCCGTACAAGCCTA